TAGCTTTGTTTCTCAATATACGTGTGATTTTTCGTTTATCTCGTCAGAAAATACTCAAATATCTTCAGTGAATAATCTCCCGAGTGAAAAGGGTCAATTATTTGATCGGGAACGATAAAAGTCGATGCATCGGAACATGTTCGAACGAACGTACAGCGTTGAACGGCGACAGCGTGCACGGCCGACCGCAAGTATGCGTTATGATTATTTGATTCGCGCGCCGCGAGTCACCCAGCGGCCGCGTCCCGGTTTCCGATTCGAGCGAAGCCTCGTGGGTATTGTTAATTGTGCCCAGGTAATTTTCAAGCGGAACACGAATCGCGCGGATTATGCATCGCCGGCGTCCCGGGGGCCGCAAAGCGCGCCGGATTATCGGGGCCGCTTCGGTTCGGACCCGTTCAAAAACCCGAGAGCTAGCCGGACACCGGCGCGCGGTCCCTGTAAAACAGGCGGGTATTAATAAATGATAAATAATACAACGGCGCGGGCCGCTTTAATAATTCCCGCGATTAAATTCGGGCGCAATGATACTGATACGTAGTTCCACTCGCGGGTTTACGCATGAATAATTCGTACTCGTGAAATGGATTAAAAAGTTCCGGGTGGAAACGACTGCGAAATGAAGGTATACTGGAGAGACTCGGAACGGACGTGCGCTTTTAAATGTTTCACTGATGTCGCACTTCAATTCGGACGTAACTATCTGCATAGAATCAAAAGTGAGCGGCTTGACGATCATTTTGCAATCGGCGAGACAGCGGAAGCGGTTGTTTTATTTTAATTTGATGATTCTTGGGGAACTCGATCAAGATTTCACTTTCAGCATGAAATTATTAGTTTTATGTTTGTGATACTGAAAATATAGATTTTTGCTGTCATTTGAGGTGCAGGGTTAACGCATCATTGTCACGAGAATCTTATGCATTGTCACTTATTCCTTCGAAGCGAAGATAAATAGAAGTAATTTCTATTAATATTCTGACTCGATATTAAACATTCAATTATAATTGTGTTGGTTGAACGTGTTTTCAGGGGAACTATTAAAAATCGTGCCTTAATTGTTCAAAGCATTTTTATGAGTACGCTAACGACATCCAGTTTAAAATTTAGTTACGTCGCCGCTTGAAATTATTAGTCGGCATTCCGCGGAATCGTGCGCCGCGTATCGAGGTCAACGAGGCACTCGATTTAGGGCGGCAAGTTAACCAACCGCGGCACCCCGCGGTGAACGATTCAATTTTCAGGTAAATAGACGCGGAAACATGCGGACCAGGCGGATGTAAGACGGGAAAAATGGTGGACAAAGGGGAACTGGAGAAGACACCGTCGCCCGTCAACATCACCGAGGCGATCGAGGGCGAGGTGTTGACTCGGAAGACAGCTAGAAGTGAGTTGCATCGAGAACAATAGCCGATAAACTGTAGTTTCCATCGGATTCTACAGAAAACGTCGGCCGCCGAGAAATCCACGATAAGATTCTCTTCTGTTAAAGAAAACGAAGTGTAGCTTCTTTTCATTGAAACTTTCGAAATTTCCGAACGATTCTCGACTCGTTGAATCTTTGTTAATTCTAGAATGTATAGTTTCTTTAACATTCGCAAAATTATCGACGTAACGGGCAATCGAAAACAATCTCGAGCAAAGAAATTCCCGAGAACTAGTCCGGCGTCGCGGACTCCGTTTCTAACACTCGTCGCGTCGAAAAGGGAAATACCTGTCAAAGATCCAGACAGAGGCATCCGACACCGTAGCGCGCGAACTTCCACAAAGGGAAATTCTGCCGGCGGCGGAAGAGGGAAATCAGCGCGTCGCGCTGGTCCGAGAGGGAACACGAAAATCCCGCCGCGCGGATATCCCGGCGGAGCGAATTTTTCGAAAAATACCATTCGCGTAAAGTGTATTACGGTCCGGCGCGCGAAGATGCACAGGCTCCCCCGTCTGTTTCCATATTTTTCCATCCGCGGACGGAGAAATCCGGGGAAATAAAATCCACTTTCGACCAGCCGGTTCCAGCGGCGGACGAGAAATTACTGGTTTCATGGTTGACGCGCTTTTTCTCTTTGACAGTACTCAAGAACGATCTGTTGCTGCACGAGGCTGTGATAAAAAACGAGGCGGACATGGTTCGCAAGGTGCTCAAAGAGACCGTCGACGTCGATTCCAGGAACAACGTAAGTTCGAAGGGGAGGGGGACGAGGATGGGAAAAGCGATGAAAAATAACCTCCGAACCGATGAACCTTCCGCGGCGACCACAATCGAGCAAGCTCGGCGGAAATAATCGCGGCGACGGCGGCCGGAAATGTCGACGGAGTGTCGCGGCACAATGCGACCTGTCTTTGCGCCGGGAGACCGGAAGCGGGCTTCGGCCGGAAAATAAAATCTTTCACTTGACGCCGCTTCGTTAGCGGTAACGTCATGCGAAACGTGTTACGCGCTCGGGAGCCCGCGATAACGCGCCGCGGTCACGGCGTGGCGGTCGCCATGAAAATAACGGGACGTTTGTCCGGCTAAAAACCGGACCGTTTCACTGAATGCACTGTAACCGCTGCTAAATCGTTCGGCATTGTGGCTTTTACTGGACCTTTGTCAGAGCGAAAGCGAAACGGTAACGTCCGTTCGACGCGTAGAACCTCGCTCGCGTCGTTTACCGCGGGATACTTTAAAGAACGCTTCCCTGGGCTGATAAAACAGGGGATGTTCTACTTAGAATTTCATCGACGTTGATAAAACTAGAATGCATCGCTGCTGGTGTAGCTGTCGTATAAAAGAGAGAATATTCTATGCGCAGCGTTATCTGGAACGGTGCGTTTTAATGTTATGTAACTCTTGTCTGATCCTGCGTGGTGTATTCTACTTGCAGTATAACCGGGGTTATAACGATTTCGTGGTTTAGCTGTCGTGGGATGGTAGAGTTGCTTTCTAATGATGGTTTCGCCAGTGTATCACGATTATTTCGTTTAAGTACAATGCTTGGTGTCAGGTCAGGGTATTCCATTTAAATGTCTCACTACGGTCGAGGAGGATCTAATGCCTTGAACCTTCCTCAGTGTCTGAGCGAAACAAGGATATTCCATTTACAAGCCCACAACAGCTGTTTAACGACCTTATAATTCCTTATGAAACTCGTCGCCTGACTAAATACGAGGCATACTACTCGCAGAATTAACAGCCGTTGAAACTTTATAATCTTTCGGGATTCCCCACCGTCTAAGATTCGGATATTCTACTCAGAGCGTTATATCGCAAACAGCAAAATTACACAAGTCTAACCCTGGTAGTCCTAACGTCTCGCCTGATAAAACTCAGACTGCTCTACTGAAACTCAGAATTAACAGCTGTTGAAACTTTATAATCTTTCAGGATTTCCCACCGTCTAAGATTTGCATATTCTACTCAGAGCGTTATATCGCAAACAGCAATATTACACAAGTCTAACCCTGGTAATCCTAACGTCTCGTCTGATAAAAGTCAGACTGCTCCACTGAAACTCCCACGACGCGTAAGGATGATCTAACGCCTTCCTTAATTTTGCTATTCGTCTGACCGAGACTAGGACATTCCACTCACGAAGTCGCAGCTGTTAAACGGCCGCAGACTTTTCCCTGGAACTCTTTGTCGGACTAAATACAGAATATTCCACTTAGGATCTCGCCGGAGTTGCTGAAAACTTTAAGATCTCTTAGAGGGTTGCCGTCTCGTCCGGCCGAAACATGAATATTCCACTGGAACGGTTAGCGCCGCCTCCTAAACCATAATTCTTCGACGCCGCTGAGCCGCGTCCGATTACAAACGGAATAATTCACTTGGAATTTCATCGGCCGCCGCTGAAGCGCCGCGATTCTTCACCGCCGACCGAAAGTATGCTAATGAAGGCGTTCGGGATTCCTTGCACGACCGCCGCGCTGTAATATCAAGCTCAGTGGCCGTCTATGGACAAAACTCCTAAATTCGACTATTCATACAACGAAAATCAAAGGTTACCAACATGCCGCTAACTAGTCATTGCTATGCAAAATGATTTTCACTTCGAAAATCAAAATTCTACGCGGATAAACTCGGTTTCTCTATTTATATAACGTTGAAATCGAAATGAGAAATATCCTTTATCATTGAAAAAACTTCATATCCCCACAAAATGATTTTCAGTTCGAAAATCAAAATTACGCGAATAAACTCGGTTTCTCTATTTATATAACGTTGAAATTGAAATGAGAAATATCCATTATTGAAAAAACTTCATATCCCCAGAATGTACAAAAAACAACCACCATATGTTTAGCTCTATACCTTACAACTTTGTCTGAAGGATTTTCTTGTATCGCACAATCTTTAACCCTTTGCGGTCCGAAGTGCTCTTGGTTTCTCACTTTGAGGTTCACGTCGACGTTAGTTCATTCAATTGCAAGCTTAACCCTCTATGGGTCGAATTTGTACCACATATGAATAAGAATTAACAATGTATTCAATAGTTTCAATAATTCCATCAAACGAATATATTTTATAAGTTTCAAGTTACAATGACGTTAAACTTTCACGCCTGAGCGTATAAAAGTTTAAGTCAACTGGTTACTTAATTTTATTCACCACTTTCAGTGCAAAATGTGATATGTAACTTCAAAGTTACAGGGGCCTATAGAGGGTTAATGTGACGCTGTATTTATTTATTCAAGAATACTTGAGAGTCATTGAAACGTTACCTCTAAATGGTACAATTGTAATGCTACAAATAAATATAGAAAAAATCGTTAAAACAGGTAGAGGTTGCAATAAAATAGAATGTCGAGTCTGACTCGATATATGACTGCTAAGGGTTAAGTTATCGAGTCAAGAAAACGACCTTCAGAATGTATTGTACGGCACGCGAACCGAAAAGCGAAATTTGCGGCGAGCCTGCGAGCTTGCGGCGCCATAAACTTACCACGGTCATAAATGAGCGGCCGTTGTTTTACGCGAAGCGAGGTTCCCTCGTAAATGTGAATGATTTGCTCAGTATGGCCGGGCGCCGATCCACTGGGCCGCTTCCAGGGGGAACACGGAGATCATCGAAATGTTGATACAAGCGAAATGTGACATCGAGGCCAGAGACAAGGTAATACTTCCATGATTTGTTTTCAATAGAACCAACCGCCCGGAAAACCGTTCGACCAGGAAACAACGGGGGATAATTTATTAGTCGTAACTGCGCCCACGCGATGCAACACAGTCGTTCGAAAATATTTGATCGTTCGCAGGGCAAACGGTGACCTTTACTTCCGCGCAGGATGCTCGAGCTTTTATCGCGGTATTATGGACCATTAAATGAAAGCTGAGTGAAAATATTTCTAGATAATATCGTCTTTTGTATGCTGTTGTTAAACAGCGTTTGACCGGAGGTTTCGATAGAGTAATTTAGTATTAGAAAGTAGTAGAGTCCATAGTATATCGTCTTTTCTTACTCAAGTTTCCTTCTTTACTTGCGTTTACTGATTTTCATGCTCAAGCAGCTATTCTGACGTTTTATCGCGAGTTCACCGTGAAACCACTTCACCGTAATTTGTCAAATAGAATGCAATTATTCCTGCGAACACTCATCCGTTGCGCAAGAATGTAATATTAAGACAACTCCCACGAATTAGGCACGTTTTAATTAAATTCTGCCCGAATATTTGAAGTTCGGTATGCGGCCGCTGCACATGGCGGCCTGGTACGGCCACCGAGACGCTGTGAAGATGTTGATCAACGCCGGAGCGAATGTGTCTGCTGTCAACAAGGTATTCCACTAATTGCGTCAGCAAATATTCACATCTTTCCCCCGAATCTCCGTATGTCGCGCACGATTGCCTGCCGCGCGGCTGAAAGCAGGAATCGCATTCAGGCTTTCTTATCCTTGCGAGAATCTCGAGAGCAGACGTTGCAGCGGGAATAAAAATCGAAGTCTATCGCGGGACAAACGCGCGGAATCATAAACCCGAGTCACGGAGTCTTCGCGGGATTCCGCGTTGCAATAGAAACGAACCTCAAACGCGGCCTCGTCAAGAAAGGACTTCCCCGTCGGCGGAATTACAGACGAAATTTCTAATTCCCTCGCTAACAGCCTCGAGAATCCTCCGAACCGGCGTTGAACAATTTTTCAACGTTCTCCTCGCTGACGAGGGAGATCCTTTCATTAAAAATTAATCCTCGTTCGTCCCTCGTTTAATCAACTTAATTCTTGCTCCGACGAAGCGCCTTGATATCAAATTCGCGCGATGGCGACTGAACGAATATAGCGAAATGATACGTAGCTGAACTAAAAGTTTCATCGACGAAAATATTTCAATATTCCTCGTTCGCGTTTCCATTAAAATCTCGAGCGAACGCAAGGGAAGAAAGGCATCGGAGAAATTCACTTTTAACAACAGTAAGGACGAAACTAATTTCCCTCCGATCAAGAAGGAATCCAAAAGCGAGTCTGTCTGCCGCAGAAACAATACACCCTTTTAATGTGCGCCGCCCGGGGCAGCAACGTCGACGTCGTGGAGTACCTCGCGGAGACCGTGGAATCGCTGAACGGCAGCGCAACCGATTGCACCGGTGCAACTGCACTTCATCACGCGGCCAGCGCCGGTCATCCGACTGTGATAACTGCGCTCTCCAACATATCCAGAATCGAGCTGAACGCCATCGACAAGGTAAGAGAGAACGCGAGTTCTCCTCTCGAGGAACCTTTCGTCTCCAACCCCCTAACGATCGAAGATTAATTCCTACTCGAATTTCCCCGTGTAAAATTACCGTTCCGCCGTGACAAATTAAAGGCCTCGCTCGACGGAACAATTCAGCAACAAAAATTGCAGCGGGGAAATTACTCAGCGACCGTTTATCCCGTGCAACGTTTTAAACGAGCACTAAGCTCACTTACGGATTCCGAGAGGCATCTCGCGATAATGTCGCAGGCGCGCGTTTCAAAGGATTTACAATTTCCACGGGAGAAAAGGGAAGAGTTCCGTCGTATAAATTTCACCAAATTGCATACACGTATCGCGCGCGCTACCTTTTTTCCGCTCCTCGTCCCCGTTTTTTTTCGCCAGCCGGACGAAAGCTTTTGCTCCCTTTATTCACGGAGGAGCCGCCCCATCGGGCCAAGCATTGATCTACGATCCAGGATCAACTTCCACGTCCATGACGCGGACACGGCGAGCCTGTGGAGCCGCTGTCCAAAGCATGAATACCTGGATCGAAGCGACACGCGCGCACACACGGCCGCGTGTATCACTCGATAGCTTAAGGTGGAACGGTTGATTGGACCCGTGCACACGAAACTGTGAAACTCAATAGCTTCAAAGAGCCACGAGCAGGGTCTTCGGAACGAGAAAGTACCCGCCGGTAATATCTATGGCCTCGGAAACTCTTCCTTTCAAATATTTGCCAGCTTCTTGCGGGATTAATGGGACATGCAGGTTGCACATGGCTGGATATTTTAATTTCCGGTTGAATAAAGGGGATTTTGGGGGAAATCTTGGGGAAGCTTCTGCGAGATTGTAAAATGTAATTATATTAAAATACATAGAACAATGGAGGCTTTATTCTATAGAAAACTTCTCTATATCAGATTTCATTTCGAACGTCCTAACAGATTTTTAATAAGTTCTCGATTGGAAGCTCCCTAATTCTCGTTCACGAATAATCACAGCAATCGAATAAACGCAATGCCAACTTAATGTACAGTCCCCGGTAAAATCAAATATTATCTTCCCCATTGAATGTCCTTCCTCCGGTAAGACGAGACTCAAAGCAATCCTCGCGGGGGTTTAAAACCATCCGAAACCGTATTTCTACCCTGCGCGTCATCTCCGTGTGATCTTGCTTTTCCTTGTAATCAAAGACTTTTCCAGCGTAGACCGGGAAGTAATTCCGCGTTAGCATTAAAGGGCGATACCGAGGAGCGGCGAGGTCCGTGCACATTAATCTGTTTCGAATTGCCGCGAACGTGCAAACACACACGCGCGCATGCAGCCGGCGAGGAACTTGAATTTATGCGGAAACTGGTCCACCGCTCGCCCCCTTCCCGTTTCAGATACCTTGGAAACTGGGTCTCCGGTATTAGCTATATTGCCTTCTTATCGCGAAGACAAGTGAAATCCCCGAAGGAGTGTGCGCGGCCCGTAGCCGCACGAATCTAACTGCAGTCCTCCCGGGGAATTTTATGGAAGCCGAGCCGCCGCTGCCGGCTTTCTTTCCCCACACGGACACGGAATATTCGCGCCCCGTCGATTTATCGTAATCCCCCTAACCCACATATACACGGCCGGCTATTCTTTTTTTCCTCCCCCTCTATTTCCGCGAGCAAACGAAAAGCTCCGAGGCTAAAAGCAGCGACGCTATTGAGTATCGGCAGATGCGCCGCCGGCACGGGAGTCCATAAATATTTACGACGGTTTTTCTAGAAAGGACAGACACCGATACACTGTGCCTGCGCGCAAGAAAACATGGCAGCCGTCGAGATCCTCATAGGATTAAACGCGAACGTGGACGCGCAGGATTGCGAGGGGAACACGCCGCTTCACGTCGCCACGAGAACGAGACACACCGCCATAGCGCAGTTGTTGTTGAGAGCTGGATGTAACACCGAATTGGTTGATCAAGTAATTTAGAATTATTCTGTGTTGAGGGTTGGAACTTAGGTGGTAGAAGTAAACAGGATTGAAGAAATTTAGAAGTGGAAAGTAAAATCTTTATAGGCATAGCAGTTATGAATAGTCTCAAGGTTTCTGTTGAAATCGATCAAGTGAGAAGTAGTTATTGTCGAGAGCTAGATGTAACGCCGAATTGATTGATCAAGTAGTTCAGAACTTTTGTATGTTGAGAATTGGAGTTTGTTTAGATGATAGAAGTAAAGAGAATAGGATTGATGAAATTTAGAAATAGGAAAGTAAAATCTTTATAGGCACAGCAGTTATGAATAGTCTCAAGGTTTCTGTTGAAATCGATCAAGTGAGAAGTAATTATTGTCGAGAGCTAGATGTAACGCCGAATTGATTGATCAAGTAGTTTAGAATTTTTGTATGTTGAGAATTGGAGTTAGGTGATAGAAGTAAAGAAACTGGAAATGAAGAAATTCAGAAATAAAGGAAGACAGAAATAGGAAGATAAGACCTTCATAGGTACAACAGTTATGAACAGTCTCGAAGCTTCTATTAACCCTTTGCACTCGAAAGTTTTTCACTAGAAATATTCAATATTCTTCGATGAGACAGACGATGTCCTTTGAATAATTAACGAGGACACATAAATAAATTAAGAAGGAAAGTTATTTCATTTCAATATTCCATACATCGATGCATCATACAAAGCTTAATATTATACATAAGCCTTTATAATTTTGCAAATCAAATCAAATGGTGACTGAGAGTCACCTCTCGAGTGCAAATGGTTAAAATCAATCGCTGAATGAAGAGTAGCTCGGAAAGAAACACTCGAGGATATTCTTACGCCTACCACGCAATCTTCTAAATAAGACAGCGGATTATTTATGACTGAGGTTGACAAGACGGAATGAATTCTGTATTTGCCAGATGGGTTTCACCCCGCTGCACGTCGCCGCCAGCCAGGGCTGCAAAGGGATATTAGACTCGATGATTCAACACGGCGCGGCTCTGAACAAACAGTGCAAGGTACTCGCTGAGGCTGGCGCCCGTCCACGTAAGTAGTATCAAATAACAAGCCTTTGTTAATCCAATTGCAGTACGGGAACACGCCGCTGCACTTGGCCTGCCAGAACAACGAGGTGGAGACGGTCGAGATACTGATCAACAAAGGGGTGGACCTGAACTGTTTGAACACGGTGCGTAGATACCGGTAAATCGTTAACGAAAAAACGGCTGAAACGGCTGATGGAATCCAGTTCGCTGTTCCAGAGGCTGCAATCGCCCATCCACATCGCCGCCGAGATGGGTCACACGGACATTTGCGAGCTGTTGCTTGCAGCAGGTGCGAATATCGAGCAAAGAGAACAGGTGAACACTGATCACACGCCTACTCTCCTCCCATCCTCGACGGAAATTTTACGGTAGAGATTGTCCCTGTCATTTCCATCATGGCTCATTCATAACAGAATCACATACTTCCTTCGTTAACGTCGGTTCTCCTTTCGACTCGAAGTTAGATCGTCGCTAGAGTATTTTTTGCTCGAACTGGGAACTGCGTATTAAGAAGCTTGATTCAATCCACGCGAATTGTAGGAATCAGTACTACTATTAGCCCCTAGCACTTAATATTCCTAGCGAAAATGAGAAATGCTAACATTTCTTCGATCTTTTATTTCCCTTAGTACAAAATTCGGATGTGTGGAAAATCGAATAATTTTACGGTAGTTTAAGATTCATTAAAATATTTAATATTTTAACTGGTGCGATATTGGAGCCTACAGAGTTCAAAGGGTTGAAATTGCTAAACGATGAAACTTGCGAGAAGACTAAAGCTAGATGGTTGATGTCCTCTAAGAGTACAGTATTCAATGAAATTCAATTTAGATAAATATCGATCTTTATAAGATATAATATCGTTATTTATTATCACCGAGAACTATATTAAGTGACGATAAATATACATTGCCAAGGATATCGAAAGCACATGGATCCCATGTCTCCTAGAATCACGGGGGCCAAACAAAGGTGTCAAAGGACACCGTCCCGACTTGATTAAACGCAATCAAAGTAGGCGTCTCTTTGTCCCGAATATGTTAACCGTGGTTTAACACGGCCCTGACGAGCTAACACGGCCGGCAAAGCTCCGCGGAAAGTTTGCACTTATGGGCGTGCCGTGAACGTCGCCGAAATTCGTCGAATCGGCGCGACCATCGGCGCGAAACTCGCTAATAAAGTTAAAGGAAAGTTCTCTGGATGTTCGCAGAGCGGCAGGACGCCGCTGTACATCGCGGCGAGAGGCAGTTTCACGGCCATCGTCGACATGATCATTAAAACCGCCCGGCTAGACTATCCCGCACCGGTAGGTAGCCTCAAATGGCCGCTAATGGATCATTAATCCTGACAAGACTCTGCGAAATTATCCGCGTGCAGTCTGACGCGTTTCAGAAGCCACAAATTTCATGCTACCGTGATCCAAGAACGATTCCCGTATTTTAATCTTAACAATTCAAATGGCGACGAACGATTCTTTGAAAATTGATTTGCAAATATTTTTATAGAAATAATTTCTTTAAAAATTAATTTAGAAACGGTACATTTCCGATCCCTGAATGCGAGATTCTTATGAAATATGGAAATGTAGGTGGAAAATTCGTGAATCGAAAAATAAGGAATAATTCAGAAAATCGGTAGAATGCTTCCAATGTGTGAAGCAGAAGCGAGACTTTGTCTTTTAGGAAGCCTCGACGTCGGACAAGGAAATCCGAGACCTGACGCCGGCTAGAAGAAGATGGCGCGAGGGATCAAGGGGAGGAAGCATTTCCAGCAACAACTGCGGTCTTCCCGAGCACATCCGGTCCGTTTTATGGAAGTTGGCGTACAAACACCTGGGTCCCGAAGACTGGAAGAAGCTGGCGCTCCACTGGGCCTTCACGCAGGAACAGATCCTAGCGATCGAGCACCAGTACACTGGTAAACAATTCCAGTCTAATGTCTAAGGGGTTGCTAAGGTCTTGAGGAATCTTCCAAAACAATGAATTAATCTTGATGTTATCGAGGTGCAAAGATTAAATCCTGTAATCCGAGTAATTGCGAGAAAGATCCGACGAAAGAGGAATGTCTGACGAATCGTCGATCGATTAAGGATTTTGCACCTCGATGATCCGTACCTGAACCGAGGGCAGTCTTATGAAAAGGACGATAAAGCTCCCCTTATAGGTCCTGCGAGCTACAAGGAGCACGGCTTTCGGATGCTGATGATCTGGGCGTCGGGGCTCAACCCTGAGATCCAGATCGCGAAGGAACTCTGCGAGGCTTTGATCGCGGTGGACAAGAAAGCTGCTGCTGGTATGTAATCACTTATCGAATCGTGAACACTGGACTGCAGATTTTACGTGCATTTAGTTTTGATAAGCGAAACATTCGAAATTCTTCGACGTGCAGACTCGTAGCTCTGTTTATTTCTTGGGAATTCGGGAATAGAATCAACGTCGGACGAATTGGATTTGTATTTTTGTAAATGAATCTTTCGGAATGTTTGGTTATGAGAGCATTCGCGATTTTGTATTCAATGAAATGACGAGAGAGAAAGTAATCCGGGAAAACTGTGGTTGCAGAATCCGTTCGTAAGCATTTGGATCAAGAGAAAGACGGCAAAACGAAGTCGAACAGGCAACGATGTCATAGATGTTCCATTACTTAAGCGCGTCGGCCGTACAGTTCCCGGCGAGTCGCGAAACCGAACGATCGTCACGTCGTCGACGACTTACGATCGCGTTGTCACATATCTGTATAGTTGCCGATCTTTTTTACAGTACGATTCCGTATAAAACACGCAGTTCATAGTGAAACCTAGTGTACAGTTGTAAAAGGAAAGGAAGGGAAGAGGAAATCAACGAAACGAGTTGTACGAATCAACGAAAATGCTTTCCGAATCGTGTAAACTTAACTTTACAGTCTGGTGATTTTACGTAGATACGAAGCAACATGAAAGGAAATAAAAAGAAGCAACGTCTGTAAATATTTTCGTGAAGTGCAATCGCTCTGGCGGGTCCCGAAGCGTTGCGCTTCTTCGTGTTATCCGAACGATGAACGCGCGCGCGACAGAACGTGAACCGTCCTACGTCGTTTTATTCTTTCGAATTGATCGTGTAACTTCGACGATATCGATTCTGCTCCGCCGAAAAGCGGCCGTAAAACACGTAGAATATGTACCTTGGGGCGAGCGGCGAGCTCGCCGGGCTTTCGATGTGATAAAACGAGTCTACCGTAGATTTATTTGGTATTGTACGGGATAATTGCGCAATTCCAGAAAGACAATCTCTACATATCCAGGAAATGTGTACGATTAAATAAAGCTGTAACAGAAATAACCATTGATTTTTCAAGCATGCAAACATTCCAACGGAACACACAGATCGGACGTGAATTACATTTCTATTACACTGCCCGAAGCAATCATGAAATCGCTACTGTTAATGACTCCGCATATTACGCTAATCAAGGGAAAAGCGAACAGTACCTACGCGATTCAGTAATTCATCGATAAAACCTGTAGCGATGCATAATTACAATTTGCAAATTAACTGCAGAAATCAATTCCTGATTGAACAAATTAGGTATGTCAAGATCGCGATTGTAATTATTTCCAGAGATCGTTAAACTTTAAATTTCAACTTACACAGTTGAAACTAATTTTTAAAACGATTTAATAAATTACCTTCTAATTGTTTCGAGCAATGTACACTACTGTTAGTACATCTACGATATTAGCGAATAAAATAATTAATCCACTTACCTCTGCATGGTATGGATCTTCGTTCGACGCCAATTGGGGTGGCAGCAAGGGATGATCGGAATGGGTGTTCAGGATGTAAAGATTCGGGGATGAGTAGAGAATCCTAAACGGCGTGTTCTATTAAAATGTGAATGTTTATTAATCCATACGGAATATTGTTTTGCCTCTATACTATAAAATAATGCATTTCTTGCTGCTTCCACCCTCGCCAAGTGTATACGTACGTATGTAATATATAAACAAAACATTATGAAACATAATCGATTGAACCGTAAACATACTCGAGTTCGATAAACGATGGTCGGTCAGCGGCGATGGTAGAAACGAGTGCCCGGAGTGCCGTCAACGGCAGTTCCATCATCATCGTGAGAATTCAATTGTACAAACCGTGTGTACCGTCGTGAACAAGGGGACGATCATTCGCGGCGTTAACTCTTAACCCTTAAAAACGAAATACAATTAAACACTATCGGCGAATCAAAATCAATCATTATCATCAATACAACGAATATTTCTATCATATATAAATATACACACACATATATATATGTATATATGTATATGTATATATATTTAGAGATTTAGTATATAAATATATCACTGTCTCGCGTAATCGGTCGGTTCAACGTTCCCATTAAAAACAGTTCAATATCGTTTCCGACTTCTTGGACTTTTATATTTTTCGGTTTACACTCGGAACGCCTGAAAAGAAAGCTACCATACTCTCTTGCCTCTCACTCTCTCTCTCTCACCCTTTCTCTCTATTATATATATATATATATTTCTCTTTCTTTTTCACTCTCTCTCTCTCTTTCTCGTGATTCGATCGCAAGTACGTGCGCCAACGACGAGTAGTGCAGCTGCATATCACGTGTGCTTTTTGGAACACTGATACACATCAGGGGAAAACGATCGCATGTGCACTCGGAAGGAACAGACGGGACACGACACGCGTTTCATCGTGAACGTACCGCGGTTCGTTGCCATTCGGCCGCGTAGCTAATTGATGGCAATTTACCAGAGATTGTTCATCATACTTAGACATCGCCTAGGTCCATTTTGATCCGGTGTTTCAGAGACTTCGCTCAAAACGTCGGTTCCTTAGGGGTAACTTAATTACCTATACGTTACTTAACAGTAAAGTAACTGTTGCTTACTTAAATTAACTGTAGGAATTCAGGGTCGAGTGAAAGTAACTCTAGAGAAACTGAGAAACGAGGACACGAATGCACCTAAGCGTAGTCTATGAAGTTATCGAAAAATCTTTTATTTTCCGGTAGTTGTACAGAGAGATTTACGATGATCCACACTGAATCTTCTTACTCGGCAGTTGTTCTGTATAAAAATTTATTTGAATCTGAATATCACTTCTTAACGCTAGACACCGATGTACAATAATAATGCGTCGATCGTGATTAACTCGATCTGGGGTAATGAATCGCGTAACGTTAATCGAAATATCAGTGAACACCTCCGAAGAACCATCCAACGAATTCCCAAAAACAAATCGCAAACGTATCGAGTACAATCCACTGAAGTGTCCGACATCCAGTTTTCCATAAAATACAATACGAATCGAGCCCGGCACGGGCGTACAGCAATCTGGCGTATAAATTAAAAACGATCGTCGTTGATTGTGCTCGCGTTTCGTAAAATCGTAAAATCGTCAGCGATCGTTTCACTATTGGATCCCAATTATGAAACCGCGCGCTTTCTATCCGGCATCGACGGTATCGTGTCCCGAGCGGTTCGAGCCGAGGTTCACGCTCGCAAGAACGAACTTTCACACGCGTTTTTTAATCAATGGCTACAATCGCGAGAAAGCATCCGTAGGAAAAAGCTCCCGAAAGCGGGTCTGTGAACGCGGACAGAGCGGTACGCAACAGGCACGGTGTATCAATTAAATACAGAGCGGTAAAACTCGCGAAGAGAAAACAAAAAGGAAATATACGCACTATGTGTATAGTTAAAGTAGTAAAGAATAAAGAGGAAACGGAGAACAGCAGGGAGAGACGAACGAAAAAAAAATTTCATATATATATACATGTATATATATATATATATATATATAAATACGTGTACTATCGTGTATATCGTGTGTTCCTATGTGTATCTGTACGTGTGCATGTGTCTGTATGATTGAACCAAGGACGAAGGACCAGCTGATCATTTAAATAACTGAGGAAATCCCTTTTGAAAGAAATCGCGGACCGTTAAGCGGCGACCGCGGACTAACTCGCGCTTCCCTTTCGCCTTTTACCTCAAGTCCACAAGCCTCGCGTCATCCAGTTAGAAAAATGAACGGGACGTCTAGGAAATAAACTTCCTACGGCAGAAATTGAAAAAAACAAAGGATTAGGTTCTTTCATCGTTGTGAGAACTGTTTGTCGTTGGT